GCAAGAAAAGAAACTTTGCCTTTTTCATTATTTCCTTAATGCTTATTTTCTTCAGATGGGTATTCTACACTATTTGGAAGAAACAAATTGACATCTGAACATCAAGATTATTTGACATTATCCTAAATGTACCATGCTGCATGGAGCGTATAGGCCTGGCACGTGCTGCATATTGGCATCTTGAACCTTTAAATTACATGCTGTAGATGGTCCTGAAACTTAGTCATTTATTTCCTTAATGCTTATTTTCTTCAGATGGGTATTCTACACTATTTGGAAGAAACAAATTGACATCTGAACATCAAGATTATTTGACATTATCCTAAATGTACCATGCTGCATGGAGCGTATAGGCCTGGCACGTGCTGCATATTGGCATCTTGAACCTTTAAATTACATGCTGTAGATGGTCCTGAAACTTAGTCATGCTATTGATTGTGAATTCTTTAAATGTTTTTTTATTATTATTTTAATTTAAAGCAAATGGAAAATGTATATTTTGACAAGCTAGGGTGTTATTTTTCAAAGTCAACTTAAAGATGAATAAGCAGCAAAACTATAGCTGCTGACTGCACTGAACCTTTAGAATGTGATCCTTTTTATTTTTGTAGATCTTCACAAGCTGATTGATTAAAAAAAGACATCTTTAGCATTTCATCCCTGAAGGGTGGTCCATGGAGTTTTGTTGTTTTCGTTTTTCCAACAGATTTTTCATTTATGGTGCTTTTTAAGGATGGAGGGGGTTTTGAGTTTTGTTTGGGTTTTTTTTAATGAACACTGCAGTGCTTCCATATAGAGAAGGGCATAATTAAAAAGTCAAAAATCTTCTGAGAGGTTACCCCAAATCCTTCATTGTAAAGGGAAGAAAGACAGTGTTAGATTTTATTTACCCTAGTTCAGTTCATCATTGCTATAAGCTCTGCTGCAGGAGAAAAATCTTTGAACTTTCACCTTCTGGAATTCTTCGGCTGCTGCCATATTGATTATTTGGATACTGATATGAATTTACCATTAGGTTATAGAGGCACTCTGAACTGTGTAAGCATGAAGATCACAGCTGGTTTTCCATCCCACTGCACTGCTAGAAATTGAGTGTAATGAGGTTCTTGTAAGCATACTCTCTCCCCAGCCTTATGGGAAGCACTAGATTGTTAAAAACATAAAGGTTGCTTTAGAGGATGAAGAAATGTGGGTGTGATCTATCTTCATTTGCACCTGTATTGAATGTTCTGAGGCAAATGTGTGCTTCAGTAGGGTAAGTCCTAGCTGTATTGCTGCAGATTGACCATGTTGTATGAGTTTCTTGCTGAATTAGGTTGACTTGCAGTGTAAAACTCAGTGGAAGCTCTAGGTTTATAGTTTCATTCTGAAAGACAAAGCATTTTTCTTTAGCAGTTTCTCATGTTGTCTGAAAAGTTATATTTTTGTAAGAATTTGCTATGTATTGACTGAAACTTTTCTTTCAGTGTTTCAAAGACCCCACTTGAAAGGAGGTAGGAAGGAATAATAATTCCATGCATTTCTCTACTTATCCAGGATAGAATAAAAAGTGCACTATTTCCCTAGACACGCTAATCCTGAACAGTAATGATTTTTTTCATTCAAAACCTAGTGTCAACACTTTCTTGGTTTTATTGAAGAGAGTTGATGTGCCCCCTCAAGGTACTGTTAATGAAAACAAAACCAAAAGCTGTCCTTAATCTGTATACTTAAACCACACGTGAAGAATTTTATTGTGTCTCACATATATAAACTGTTCATGGAATCTGAATAGCCTATGTAGAATTCCAGACTGATACTGGAAAACTTGCCAAATTTGCTTTTTGTCTGTCTATAATTGGTAAAGTGTTTTCAGTTCGGAGAGCCAATAGAAGCATACTTCAGTGTTACTGCTTTAAATTATTGCAGTTAATGTTAATTTTCTAATATACCTGGGACACAGTTTTTCCATGGCCTATAGCTTGAGCATCCCTAAATACTCCCAAAGAGCAGAGCTTCCCTCTAAACAGGAGGAAAGTGTCTTGCTTTTCCCTGAGTATTTTAGCTCTGTTGTATAGTATACATCCCAGAAAATATCTTTATTATTGCCTATAACTTAGTAGTGACCCTTCAATTTATGATACAGGACTGCAGTCAGTATATTGTGTAGCTGCAAATGAATGCAGATGTCCTCTAAACACTTAGGTGTATCCTTCACTTTGCAAGCATGAATATTTCCATTGATTCTTGGGCTGGTTACTCCTGTAGGTGAAATTAAGCACATAGGCATTCACTGGGACAGAGCTTACAGTGCCTGTGTTCCCGGGTGAGCTTGACAGATGTATAAATCAGTCACAACAAGTGGGGGTGGTTGTTTTTTAGCAAGGAAACTTGTGAACTGGAAGATGGCTTAATCTGTTTGCTGTACCAAGGCTTGTACTTCCCTTTAGCATTGCTGCACTGGGCTGTCTGAGCACAGAGAGCTGTTGCTTGTGCAGGGATGTTCTGTAATGATTCCCAGAATGACCAGGGGACCTGACTTACATATTAATAGGTGAGAGCCAGCAGTGCTTGCAGGCTTTTTCTTTTCAACTGATAAAGAGTCAGAGGAATTTCATTTTTCTTTAAACTTTTTTTAACGTAGTTTTTTTGAAGTGATAGATGGAAGTATAAAGCAATTCAGCAAACACTGAACATTATATTTTTTTAAGTTGCTGAATTGATTCTGAACAAATATATACACACTGTTGGTCTTTATTTATTTGTTGCTGTAGTGTAGATTTTTTAAAAGAACAACAAGTTTCTGTGCTAGAATTTTCAAATGTAAACTGCTATAGCTGAACAGTTTTCCATGTTTAAGGCCAGTTGGGAAAAAGCTATTATTGCTGCACTATGTATGCAAACAGTTCCCAAGATATGGTTAACATTAGAGGTTTCTTAATTATTCTTTGCACTAAATGCTGCTTCCACCTAGAAGTTACTTGATTGATAGTAGTTTGTGCAAGGAGAAGACTGCTGGCATTGTATCTACTGCATCAGTGCAGTGCACATGTTAAAATAAAGGTACACTATTATTACTTGTGTGTTTGAATTGTTAAATCCATTGTGGAGTCAGTGTTAATATGACAGAATTGGTAGGTATGATGCTCACCATTGTACCTTCTTTTTTCCTTGTCACCTAACAAACATGAAGGTACTTTGTGGTCCTTTAATTGAGTATATTGGATTAATAAATTCAGTTATTTTCCATATAATATATGCTCAGATAAGATACTTTGTAGTATGGAACTGATGTTTGCAGTGGGAAGAATCTCTTGAGGCTTCAGTGATATTTGCCTGGAAAGAGTCAATTTTCTGTAGGTACTGTAGATATGAATTCTTCGGAGATCTGTAAGTGTCAATTTTAGTTTTTTTGCTAAAGTGGCAAATTGGCTTTGGGGTGGCAGAGTGACTCATTGCGTGGCACAGAAAAGGCTTAGGAGAAATCGGTGAGACATTAAGAGTGATGGAAACTTTGGCCCATAAGTTTAAGGAAGAGGGAGAAGGGCAGGAACAGGATGGGCATATTGAAGAAGTTATTCATCTTTCTGAATCACACCCCAGAGTAATGTCAAACGATGAAAAAGAATGTGACTTCTGAATTACAGAGATTTTTGTAAAATTCAGCTAACTGGAAAGGAGAAGTATTTACCTCTGCCCTAGCAGAAGGCTTGATAGTTAGGAAAAAGAAGGGGGAATGCTTAACTTCTTGAGGGAGGGGAAAAGTCTCACATGCAGCCTATGAGGGTAGGGGAGAGAGTAAATATGGAGCTCCTACATGCATGACAGGGAAGATAGGTATCTCTTGCGTTTTTATTTTCACTGTTTCAGAGTTTGAGGTGTTGACAGCTTGCTGGAGGGGATAAGGCGAGGGGACAAATGAGAGGAAGAGAACTCAATTTCTTATTTTAATTTAGGAATAGGAGACTGCAGATGATGTTGCCTGTGGGTAATAGGAGGAAGCTGACAAACCTTATCCACAGAAAAAGTAGTTGGAGTCATTAGAGGTGCTGAAGGAGCAAGTGAGAGAAGTAGCAAAGTAAGCAAGTGCAGAAGTGATTAAAAATAGCATTGAGCAACTTGAAGTGCCTTTTTTGAAATATGGGATGCTTTAGGAAGCAAGGAATTAAAATATGGATTGGGAACTGGAAGAATGTGAAGAAGTTCATACTGTGGTCAGACATTTCAGTGAACTTGAGCTTCAGGGGTAGAAGAGAAGGTAGAAAGGAAAAAGGATGTGAAATGTGCTTCGGAACTGGAGGTGTGAGAGGTACTCCTGTGCAGTGTCAAGGGAAGGAAGGATGCAGGGTCTAGAGCCATGAAGGTGGAAAGGAACTGGGGGAACGAGCCAAGAGGAGGAACCAGAAATGGGACAGCAGAACACTAGTGGTGTGGGGATTTGGGGAACACATCTGGTCATACAAAAAATGGAGTGATGGGGCTAGCAGGTGGACTGCAGTACACTTACACATACTAAAACACTGGTCTTATCCCATACACAGACTTTTTGCATCAAAACTGTCCAGGCTGTTCCAGCACCCACCTTGATCTGTACCAGTTCTGACAGGGTTGCTGTGGGTGCTGTTTGCACCTGGATTGTAAGGAAAGAGCTATCTGGGAGCACTGGGTATGTTGGGCCAACTCAGATGTGAGGTGGGGAGTGCTTGCCTTGAGCCCCTCTTCTAGAAATGCTAGGCACAGGAGACTGAGCTGCAGGACAAAAATGGGGCTAGTGTCTGTGGGTAGACCACTGTTCTTACCACATGGGAAGTCTGCAGCCCACAGCCTGTTCATGGGTTCCTTGTGGGTAGTGGGTGGGTGGCACAGTGGACACTAGTCACCTGGATTCTTCTGGAGGGTCATATGCAGGCTGCAGGAACTCCTCTCTGGAGCCGTATGTTTGGGTTTTTTTAGTAAAAAGGTGGTCCTTTCGATGTAAATGACTGGGAAAGCAAAATGGGAGGAATTCAGCGCCCTTCAAGGTAAGAAGTGCAAGACACAGCCTCATTAAAACTGAGGAATACAAACCATTTTCAAGTTGCTGACTGCTTAGCCTGAAGGCATAAAAATATTGACAACTTTTGGAATTTCTGGAACAACAATGAGGTGGGTTGTTCTCTTGATCTAAATCTAAAGAGTCAAATTACTGCCAGAGCCTTTCTCATGTATTGTGTGTTTAGTCTGTGGGTCATGCTAGAACTATTTTGAGAGCTTGCTCACAAGACAGACTAATCATTAGGTTTGCTGTGACTAGAAGTTACAGTCCCCCTTGTCCCATCTCTCTGAACTTCTGTTTCTAGAAGTGCTGCAAAAGCACATGAATATGCAGAGATGTATGGAAATTTAATTAGCCAAAACTTCTCAAAGATATTTCAGACTTTCTTGACTGGAGTGTTTTCTAAAATCTATTCGACCTAGTTCCCTCAACACTACAGCTTATGTGAAGGGGTTGCTGTGAAGACATTTATTCCAGTAGCTATGCCATGCGAATTGTCCCAGCCATCATCTCTACACTCCCACCTCTTGATCCTCACCCTGCATTAGTTCCTCTGCTGTGAGCTCTCCTGTGGCCATGTGACAAAGCAATCAGGTTAAAAATGAGCCATCAGACACATTAGAAGGAGATGGGGAACTGATGTCTCTTCAACTACACTACTGAAACGAATGGATGAAAGTCACCTGTGTTTAAATTGGACCTGTCTGGTTCATCATTTTGCCCAGCAAGCACTTGTCCTGGCAGCCCTGAGTGGTGTGCAGGCATGGGAACTGGTGGTGGAATGGGTGAGCAGGTCAGGGGAGGTGTGGTGTAAGGGAAAAATGCTTAATGTAAAGGCTGTGCACTTACTCTGTTTGCAGTCCAAATTGCAAGATACCACGTCTATCACTTTCTTACTAAAAGCACAATCTTCATGAAAGTTTGACTTGAGTATTGTTGTAAAACTGGGTAATGAATCTTCCATTTCACTCAGCTAGTTCAGCCAAGGAAGAGGCTGATCATGGTTACAGTAATTTCAAAGACCTATCAGGAGAAATAGCACTAAGTTATTAAAGATCTGTGAATTCATCAGTGTCTTTTAGTAG